GGGCTTGTGCAGCTTTCCCAGCCCAGCTCCTCACTGCTTTTCCGGAATTTTTAATTCTCCCAGCTCCCAGCCTCCTTCTCTCCGGCCTAAAATAATTACAGTAATCTGACAAATTGGTTTTGCTTTCCCAGGAATGAAACATTTCCCCGGCAGGCCCTGCCCGTTCCTCGGGAACATCGGTGCGCTCCGACGGCGCTGCGAGTGAAACGGAGCCCGGAAAATCATCTCATTTCTGCCTGCTCTGCTTTTCATTCCCTGCTCCCTGCACACCAATTATCCCCAGGAATTGAATCACAGCTCCCTGCGGGAAAAGTGGGAAAACAAGCGGAATCAGCAGAGGGAAAGGAGGGAAATGGTTTGGGAAGGAAAGGAAAAGGAAAGGGAATTCTCCCCGTGGGGCACAACTGCACTGGGATCCTTCTCCAGCTTCTCCCAACATTTTCCTGCACTTGGAAGGGTGGGAATGGGATGAATTCCCCCCCCCTCAGCAGTGGTGGTGCTCCTAAAAATCAGAATTGTGGAGATTTTAAAAGTTCTTTCCAATCCAAACCGTTCAGATTGTATGGAAAAACGGAGACATTTCATCAGAATTTCCCAACCCTTCCCCCTCCAGCTTTCAAACAGGCTGGGAATAAAATCCCTCCTATCAGCAGAGGGTGATAAATGTTGGGATGTTCGATAAATGTGCCAGGATATTTGAGAAATGTTGGGATATTTGATAAAAGTGTCGGGATATTTGATAAATGTTGGGATATTTGATAAAGTTGTTGGGATATTTGATAAAAGTGTCGGGATATTTGATAAATGTTGGGATATTTGATAAAAGTGTCGGGATATTGGATAAATGTTGGGATATTTGGTAAAAGTGTCGGGATATTGGATAAATGTTGGGATATTTGATGAATGTGTTGGGATACTGGATAAATCTGTTGGAATATTTGTTTAAACGTGTTGGGATGTTTGGATTCTTTTTTCCCAGCCCATTTTTTTCACATTTTGCAGATTAAAGGCTGAGGTTTCCCACACTGAGTTTTCCCTTTTTCCAAGTGCTGCTGGTTGGGAGGGGCAGGAGCAAAATTTTCCTGCCTGGAATCCTGGGAAAAGTGGGATAAAGGTTTTTCCCTTCAGTCATAATCCTATAAAATATAATAATTCTATATTATAAATGTATTTAGAGGCTTTAAACAAAACCAAGGAAGGTTTAGATGGGATTTTGGGAAGGGATTCCAAGCTGGGATGGAATTCCCAGAGAAACTGGGGCTGCCACATCCCTGGAATGTTCAAAGTTTGGAAAAATCTGGGATAGTGGAGTTAGAACTGGATGGGCTTTAAGAGCTCTTCCAACCCCAATCATTCCAGGATTTTGGGATTTCTCCCTCAGGATCCAACATCTGGGCTATCAAAGGGAATCATGAGGGAAAATCCATGAAAAACCCCAAAGGAAAACCCAAACTCTTGGATCCCAAGCCCTCGTTGACATTCCCAAAAGAATGGGAGCAGCTTTTAGCAGGAATAGCAATTCCTGGATAATCCTGAATTCCAATAGCACAAAATCCCAGGAATTCCAATACCACACCCCATTAATGGGCTCTGCAAATATCCCTGGCCAGGGTTTTTTGTGGGAATTTTACCTTTAAGGTTTTTGGTTTTTTTCCCTCCATTGAGCAGCTGCTTTGTAGAGGTTAAAAATCCCAGTAAAACAGGAAATGATGGAATTTCGGGCTGCTCATTTTGCCCTGGTTTTGGACTCATCACATATTTAATAAAAGCCCAATAATGGCTCCGTGGCATTTGCTGGGAGAGCTGATGTGGATAATTATGGATAAAATTATGGATAACAGCTCACCCACAGGTTTTTGTTTCCAGGGAAAAGCCAGAACATTGCACCAGCTCCATTCCACATCCCAGAGCTGCAGTGGAAATTCAGGATTGCATTCCCAAACTGGTCACATTTTCTTTTTTTTTTTTTTCTTGGAAAAAAAAAAAAAATTAAAATTAATTGCCTTGAAGGTTAAAAATCCTTGGATTCATCTCAGCAGGTGCCACGGATTGGGAGTGGTTTTCCAAAGGGCAGATTGGAAAATTTGTGGAAAATTTGGAGTTTTAATTAATAATGTCTGAGCTGCTTAAATTCCGTGCTGAGGGCGATCCTCAGTTTTATTGCTCTCATTTCAAGCTATAAATATTTTATTTCCACCTGGATATTGTGATTATTCCTAATAAATATTCACTCCTATTTCTTATTGTTCCTAATAAATATTCACTTCTATTTAATTGTCAGGATGGAATCTCCAAAAATAGACACTCATGCTATGGATAGATTGAAGATGGAATAAACAGATTTTAAGCTGGTTTAAATTCTGTTTTTATGGCTTTTGTAGGATTTTTAAAAGGAAAGGAAAAAAGGGAAAGGAAAGGAAAGGAAAGGAAAGGAAAGGAAAGGAAAGGAAAGGAAAGGAAAGGAAAGGAAAGGAAAGGAAAGGAAAGGAAAGGAAAGGANGGAAAGGAAAGGAAAGGAAAGGAAAGGAAAGGAAAGGAAAGGAAAGGAAAGGAAAGGAAAGGAAAGGAAAGGAAAGGAAAGGGAGAAAAAGGAAAAGATAAAAAGGAAAAGGAAAAGGAAAAGGAACTTAAAGCATTTTAACCCAAGTAGAAGACAACTGAGTGAACACAACACTCGAATGTAGAATTTCTCAATTTATTCCATATGAAAGCTCACAGATTTTTTTTTTCCCCACATTTTCCGAGGGCTCAATAGAAAAGATGGAATTGTGTTTTTCCCCTGGATTTCACAGGCTGAGCACAGAAATCACTGCTGGTAACTCGCCACCTCCAGGTCCACGGGGAAGCGAGCTCGGTTGCCCAGGCACTTCTGGCTGTCAATGAAAATGCTGTTGGCTTTCACAGCGATTTCTTTCTCCAGCTTCATCCTGGTCTCCTCCAAATTCTTCAGGTTCTGCTCGGATTCCATCAGTTTTCTCTTCAGGGCCTCCAGGAAAACTGCGAGTTCTTCCACTTCGCTCACCAGCCTGGAAGGAATTGGGTAAAGTCATGAAAAATCAGGGGATGGTGATCCAAGGGATTGGATTTGGGAAAAAGATCAAGGACAGAACCTAAAATTCATCAGGAAAAGACCTCAGAAAAATCCAGGAAAAGATTGGATATGGAATGAAGATCAACTACAGATTCTCAAATCCATCAGGGGAAGGCTTCAGAAAAATCCAGGAAAAGATTGGATCAACTACAGAATCAAAAATTTATCAAGAGAACACCTCAGAAAAATCCAGGAAAAGATTGGATTTGGGATAAAGATCAACCTCAAAGGAATTGGGTAAAGTCATGAAAAATCAGGGCATGGTGATCCAAGGGATTGGATTTGGGATTAAGATCAATTACAGAACCTAAAATTCATCAAGAGAAGACCTCAGAAAAATCCAAGAAAAGATTGGATCAACTACAGAATAATAAATTTATCAGGAGAAACCTCAAAAAAAAACCAGGAAAAGATTGGACTTGGGATAAAGATCAACCTCAATGGAATTGGGTTAAGTCAAGAAAAATCAGATGATGGTGATCCAAGAGATTTGATTTGGGATAAAGATCAAATACAGAATCAAAAATTTATCAGGAAAAGACCTCGGAAAAAATCCAAGAAAAGATTGGATTTGTGATAAAGATCAGCTACAGGATCAAAAATTCATCAAGAGAAGACCTCAGAAAAATCCAGGAAAAGATTGGATCAACTTCAGAATCAAAAAGTCATTTCTGACTTTGAATAAAAAAATTCAAAGTCGTGACATAAAAAAATGTTTAAATCTGCCTTACTCCCTTTGGGATTGTACACGAACCTTGGAGGAGCTGATTAATTATCTAAGCTGGGGTTAATTGCCTAAATTGGGTTTGATTGAATGACCTGAACTGGGCCTCATCCCTGCAGAGCTCGATGTTGGGCCTGAAGGATCTGTCGTAGAGCCGGGTCTGAGCCACTTTCAGGAAAGCTTCCTTGTCCCTGATGGCTTTTTTCAGGTTCATTATGTTGGCTTCCTCCTCCCCAATATCCTTCAGGATCTGCACAGGAAATTCCAGGGGAAAAAGAAAAAAAAAATTCAAATTATAAATATCATTCCCCCCCAAATTATCTGTTCTTGGTTGTTGTGTATAGGTTAAAATCCTCCAAAAGAAATTTAAAATAAATCCAAAATAAATCTAAAATCATCCAAAAGAAAGGATTTATTAAATTGTAGCTTAAATCTACAGCTTCAACTAAATACAACTGATCTGTTTGTTCCCATTAAAAAAATCATAAAAATAAAAATCAATTTACATAACAATCTATTGTTGGGAAGAAAAATAACTTGCATCTACAAAAACAAGAATTCTATCTCATAAAAATCAATAAACAAAAATATATCAACCATCCAAAAACTAAAAAAATTTAATAAACATGCACACAAGCCATTTACCAACCAATTAACTAAATTTCAATCAATTAATCAACTCAACACAACACCTGCTAATATTCCTATAAAAATAAAAGATATACAATTAAAATTCAGCTTTTCTACATAAAAAACTAAAGTCCCATCTATTAAATTGCCACACATGGTGAAGCGTTCAAGTTTTCACCACCAGCCCAGAGAATTAAGTGCAACAAGAATAATTTTCATTTTAGATGATAATGTGATTAATTTTATTCTATTTAAGGTTAAATACAAGGAATAAGGTGCGTTTGACCTGTTTATTAATTAATTAAATGTTTAATTGAACTCCATCCATTTTAAGGTCTAGGTCAGGATTAAATGTTTAATTGAACTCCATCTATTTAAGGGTTTAGTTTGGGATGAAAGGTTTGATTGAACTCCATCCGTTTTAGGGTTTAGGTCAGGATTAAATGTTTAACTCCATCCGTTTTAGGGTTTAGTTTGGGATTAAACGTCTAACTCCATCGATTTTAGGGTTTAGATCAGGTTGAAATGTTTAACTCATCCATTTTAAGGTTTAGGTCAAGATTAAATGTTTGACTCCATCCATTTTAGGGTCTAGTTTGGGATTAAATGCTTAACTCCATCCGTTTTAGGGTTTAGGTCAGGATTAAATGTTTACTTGAACTCCATCCCCACCTGCTCCAGGCCCAACTTGGCCTGGTCCATCCCCACCTGTTCCAGGCCCATCTAGGCCTGGTCTCCATCCCCACCTGTTCCAGGTGTTGCTCCAGGCCCAGCTTGGCCTGGTCTCCAACCCCACCTGTTCCAGGTGTTGCTCCAGGCCCCATCTCGGCCTGGTCTCCATCCCCACCTGTTCCAGGTGTTGCTCCAGGCCCATCTAGGCCTGGTCTCCATCCCCACCCGTTCCAGGCCCAGCTTGGCCTGGTCTCCATCCCCACCTGCTCCAGGTGTTGCTCCAGGCCCATCTCGGCCTGGTCTCCATCCCCACCTGTTCCAGGCCCATCTCGGCCTGGTCTCCATCCCCACCTGTTCCAGGTGCTGTTCCAGGCCCATCTCGGCCTGGTCTCCATCCCCACCTGTTCCAGGTGCCGCTCCAGGCCCAGCTTGGCCTGCTCCAGCTGGCGGCAGTGGCCGTGCAGGGCCTCGCTGACGGCGGCGCGCTGCACGCGCAGGTCCTGGCCCGCGTCGTGGATGACGCTGTTGATGAGCGAGCGCAGCTGCACCGACGCCAATTTCTCCTGCTCCGCTCTGGAAATGTTGTCGTGGCTGAACTGAGCCCAGGATTTGGGCGTGGAGGCGCTGTGGGAATGAGGAGAGTGGGGTCAAAAGGGGAGTTTTGTCCCTATAATGGTGTCCTTTCCCTGCGCTTGGGATAGGGGGGCTGGTGTCCGGGTGGTTCAGATGTTGGTTGTGGATGGGATGGGATGGGATGGGATAATGGGATGGGATAATGGGATGGGATGGGATGGGATGGAATGGAATGGAATGGAATGGAATGGAATGGAATGGAATGGAATAGAAAAAATAGAATAGAATAGAATAGAATAGAATAGAATAGAATAGAATAGAATAGAATAGAATAGAATAGAATAGAATAGAATAGAATAGAAATATAATAGAATAGAATAGAAATAGAATAGAATATTTCTGCAATAGAATTCCCAGAGAAGCCGTGGCTGCCCCATCCCTGCAAGAACCCAAGGCTGGAGTTTGGAGCACCCTGGGATGGTGGAAGGCGTCGCTCGGGCTTGAGTTCTAGGACGAATCCCTGGAACTTCCAACCCAAATATCCCACACAGGACATCCAGCACCACCACGGAGCTGCCTCCAAGCTCTTCCCATGGCCAATCCCAGCTGGGATGGAGCATTCCAGGAGGATGCTGGGATGGACTCACTTCTCCTCGAACTTCACGGAGCTGGGGTGGGACTGGACGTTGGTGCTGTCGGTGCAGTAGGAGCCGCATTTATCGTCGATGTGATACGTCTGCACCTTATCCGACCAGTCCAGCTCACAGTTCTCCTTCTGGATCCGGTTGGATCTGGAAAATTGGGATCACAGCTCAGCAGGAAGCAAGAGAATTCCCAAGTTTGGGAAGCGTGGCTCCAACCTTTGCGTTCCGCAGGGAAACGAAACCGCGAAATTCCTCGCGGGCGGGAAAATCCCAAACGCTCCCTCCCAGCTCCTGGGGAAGAGCCTGGGTGGGATGGGATGTGGGGAAAAATTTCGGTGGATTGGGAAAGATTCCAGTGTGTTGGGAAAAAATTTCAGTAGATTGGCAAAAAATTCCAATGTATTGGGAAAAAATTCCAACGTATTGGGAAAAAATTTCTTTGTATTGGGAAAAATTTCCAGTGTATTGGGAAATATTTTCAGTGTATTGGGAAAAAATTCCAGTGTATCGGGAAGAAATTTCAGTGTGAGGGTGCCTGGAAGAAGAATCTGATTTTGATGGGATATTGGGAAAAAATTCCAGTGTATTGGGAAAAAATTCCAGTGTGAGGATGCCTGATTTTGATGGAATATTGAGAAAAAAATCTAATGTGAGGGTGCCTGGAAGAAGAATCTGATTTTGATGGGATATTGGAGGAAAATTCCAGTGTGAGGGTGCTGGAAGAGGAGGGTGATTGAGATGGAATATTGGGAAAAAATTCCAGTGTATTGGGAAAAAATTCCAGTGTATTGGGAAAAAATTCCAATGTATTGGGAAAAAATTCCAGTGTGAAGATGCCTGGAAGAAGAACCTGATTTTGATGGAATATTGGGGAAAAAATTCAGTGTATTGGGAAAAACTTCTGGTGTACTGGGAAAAAAAAATCACTGTGAAGGTGGTTGGGAAAGGAGCTTGATTTTGATGGAATATTAGGAAAAATTCCAATGTGAGGGTGGGAAGGCTCTGGAATGGAATTCCCAGAGAATCTGGAAGTGTCCAAGGCCAGGGATTGGGGAAGGTCCCTGCCCATGGAATGATATTCAAATTAAAATTGCTGCTTTGTTGTTAATTAGAGTCACACATCGCTCAGTTAATTATAATGATAATTATAATGATTCGAATTCCAAAAGCCTGTGGGTTGTTATCAGCTGATAACACCAGGTGTCACTGTCAGCCAAGGAATTGGGAATTCTCCTGGAAAATGGGAATAAAATGGGGTTAAAATGAGACTAAATGGGGATAAAGTGGGACTAAAACTGGGATTAAAATGGGTCGAAATGGGGCTAAAAACAGGAATAAATGGGGCTAAATTCGGACCAAAATGGGGCCAAAATGATCTTAAAACAATTAAAATTCCCCAACTAAATTCATTAGGCTCCACTCGTGCTCTAATTAATAAACAGAGCTACTTTATATTAATTGGCATTTACAGCCATTAAAAAAAAAAATACAATGTTTCTTTTAGCAGGTCGAACAGGAGCAGATTAAAGGATTTTTTAAAAACTAAAATAGGAAGTTTCCAGCAGTTACTTCCTTTATATTGACGGATTTTAGGATACAATAACATCTTTCCACAGGGTTTGTTAGAAATTCCAAGCAAATAATCCTTTGGAATGACAAGGAACACCCAGAAATTCCAGGTTTAAAGTTCACACTGACATCTGGTGGCAAAAAAAAAGTTTCCTCTTGGAAAACACCTTTGATCCCAAAAATCCTTTTAATAACACAAAGATATTCCCAAGAAGATATCCAGAGAATATTTTTATAGCATTGGAATTTAGTGGTGGAAAACAAATCCAACAAAGCTGTGGAAAGGAGGGAAATCTAAATTTATGAAAAATCCAGAGGTTTCCAGGTTTAAGCCTGGCTTAAATCTCCTAAGCCTGGCCTGGCTGAGATCTGGATCCATCTTTAGCCCAGGAATTCTTTGGCTGAAGAATCCTGGGAATGTTTTACCTGATCTGGGTGGTGGCTTGGATGATGGTTCTTTTCAGAAGTTCCCGGATATCCCGGATAAGATCTGCTTCCTAAAGAAAAACAGGCAGAATTCCCTGGAATTTTTCTGGATCCAGAGCAGAAAACAAAATCCTGAGGAGCGATTGGTGGAGAGAAAATCCTTAAATTTCCTGATCTTTTTTTATGGCAAAACTTGGAATTTTGGAGTCACCTGATCCTGAGGGAACTCAGCTCTAAACCTATGGAGGCTGAAAAATCTGGGAATTTTTGTGGATTCCATGGAAAATCTGTGTGCTGTCCTATGATGGAAGGAGTTCTTCCCTGGCACAGATACCCAAAATATTTGTGGCTCCTCTATCCTTGGAATGTCCAAGGCCAGGTTGGATAGAGCTTGGAAAAACCTGGAATAGTGGAAATTGATGATTTTTTAAGGTTCCATCCATCCCAAACCATTCCAGGACTCCATGATCCCACCAGATTAAACAGAATAAATTAATTTCTTGCTGAGTTTTGAGATAGGGAAAAACCAGGGAAAATCCCCGTGCCTGGAACCAGATTAATCAGGATTTGATGAGCTTTAAAGTCTTTTCCAACCAAAACATTTCCCTGATTCCCTGAATTTTGTAACAATTCCCACATGGAAATATCCTCCACCAGCTCTTCCCTGTTTTTATTTTTAACAGGAAAAACCTCTTAAATATTAATTATAAATCAGAAATTACACACAATTCCCATTCAAAATATTCCTAAATCCCATCATGGCCTCTATTTGGAATCCTGGAATATCCTGAGTTGGGAATCAAGCAATTCCTGGCTCTTCCCAGGATAATCCCAAAAACTCCAGCAGGTGCCATTGTCCAAACATTTCAGTCTGATCCATATTTTTCAAAAATTAATCCTCTGGTTTAATGAGTAACTGATCATGAACCAACTCTGATTGGAGGCTGCAGGTAAATAATCATTAATTAATTTATGGGATATTGGAATAGGTGGAATTCTAGGATGGAAAATAATCTGGAAAATGTGTTTTTTGTAACATCCAGCACAGGAACGATGCTGGAATTTGACAGGAATCTTGGTGATAGGGTTGGATCCTCACCTTGGCAAAACTCAGGGAAAATTAATGCCAGAAACTGCCAAAATTTGGACAATTCGAGCATGGGAACAGCAAAGGAATATCCCATTTTTCCTGAAGTTTTGGATTGTGGAGTTTTAAAGTGTAACCTGCAGAGAGGAGGGGATTTCAAGGGGAGTAGAGGAGGAATTCATGCCAGAATAGGAATTTGGTGTTGGTGCAGGAACATTTTGGGTTGGTTTTGTTGGGGTCTGTGGCTGCTCTCCTCCAGCCACGCTTCCCCAAGGGATTGCATCACATCCCAAAGGGATTTGAAAAACTTCTGAAACACAGCGAGGGCTCGAGAAAAAAAATCCTTGAAGTGACACCAGGAGTCCAGGAAGGGGCAGCAGGAATTGCAGGAGACAATTCCAGCAGCCCCAGGGAAAACTCCTCATTGCTGCTGCTCATTGCAGCACTGCCACCCACGGGGACACAGCGCCAGGGGTGTCACCCACGGGGACACAGTGCCAGGGGTGTCACCCAAAGGTGAACAGTGCCAGGGGTGTCACCCACAGGGGAACAGTGCCAGGGGTGTCACCCACGGGGACACAGCGCCAGGGGTGTCACCCAGAGGGGAACAGCGCCACGGGTGTCACCCACAGGGGAGCAGTGCCAGGGGTGTCACCGACAGGGGAACAGTGCCAGGGGTGTCACCCACAGGGACACAGTGCCAGGAGTGTCACCCACGGGGACACAGCGCCAGGGGTGTCACCCAAAGGTGAACAGTGCCAGGGGTGTCACCCACAGGGGAACAGTGCCAGGGGTGTCACCAAAAGGGAAACAGTGCCAGGGCAACAGTGCCAAGAATTTCACCAAAAGGGGAACAGTGCCAGAGGTGTCACCAAAATGGGAACAGTGCCGGAGTGTCACACAGAGGGGAACAGTGCCAGGGATGTCACCCACAGGGGGACAGTGCCAGGGATGTCACCGACACGGGAACAGTGCCAGGGGTGTCACCAAGAGGGGAGCAGTGCTCGGGATGTCACCCAAGGGGCAGCAGTGCCAGGGATGTCACTGACAGGGCAGCAGTGCCAGGGGTGTCACCCACAGGGGGACAGTGCCAGGGGTGTCACCAAAATGGGAAGAGTGCCAGGGGTGTCACCCAAGGGGCAGCAGTGCCAGGGATGTCACCAAAAGGGCAGGAGTGTCAGAGCAGCAGTGCCAAGAATGTCACCAAAATGGGAGCAGCGTCAGGGATGTCACTGACAGGCCAGCAGTGCCAGCGGGGTCACCAAAAGCGGGACAGTGCCAGAGCTGTGACCAAGAAGGGATCAGTGCCAGGGCAGCAGTGCCAGGGCTGTCACAAACAATGCCGCAGTGCCATGGCTGTCACCACCAGGCCCTGCTCACCTTCAGCAGCTGCCTCTCCACCTCATCGATCACCAGGTCGGGCGGCTGCCGCCGCTCGCGGCACTCCAGGTTATCGGTCACCACGGCGTAGGGCACCTCGGTGGCATCGAGCGCCCGCTCCAGCCGCAGCTTCTGAGCCGCCAGCAGGTTGGTCTCGGCGTCCAGCTCCATGATCTCCTTCTGCAGCTCCATCCTCCAGAAATCGATGTCCCCCAGCCGCTGGCCCAGGGTGCTTTTGGAGTGTTCCTGGGCTCGCTGCGCGCTGGCGGCCGCATGTTTCATCAGGTTCTTGGCCTCGGCGCGGCCGCGCTCCGCCTCCTCGCTCACCGTCAGCGCGTTGTAGTAGACGCCCGCGTTTCGGCGGTGCCACTCGGGCAGCTGGTACTTGGCGGTGCGGAAGCCGGCCATGGCCATGCCGCAGCAGGAGCCCGGCCTCTCGCTGCGGACCACATCGCAGATCCTGGAGGGCAGCGGGCAGGAGGGAAGGACCGCGGGCCGCGGCTCGTCGGGCAGCGCCATGGCGGAGCGGCCGCTGCTCCCCGCCGCAGCCACGGCGTCTGCCCGTCACCACAGCAACCAGCGGCAAGGCGGGGCCGCGGCTTGATGGACAGCCACGTAAACCAGTCAGAGAGCGGATTCGCCTCAAGGGCAGCGCTGATTGGTGAATGTGCTGCCTGTGCCCGCCCCCACGCGGCTCGTTGCTATGGTGACGGGAAAGGCGGGAAGGTGAATGAGGGAGGTGTCATGGCGGCCGGGGATGCCCTCGTGGAACCGTAGGAAGGATGTCGAACGTGTCCAGAGAAGGGCAACAAGATGGAGAGCTTGGAGCACAAAACTTTGGAAGAACGGCTGAGGGAGCTGGGGTTGTTCAGCCTGGGAAAAAGGAGGCCCAGGGGTTCCGGGATTCCATCCCAGTTCCAGCCCCTCTGGTTTTCCCTGGAGCCCAGAGAGCTCTTGCTGGTTTTAGGCCGCTCAGCTGAACCCATTTCTCCTTGTTCTGCTTTTATTCCCAAATATTCGTTGTTAAGGCAGCATCTGTGACTCTGGGCCTGGCACGGAAAAGGGAAAAGAAAGGGGGAAAGAGGAAAGGAAAGGAAAGGAAAGGAAAGGAAAGGAAAGGAAAGGAAAGGAAAGGAAAGGAAAGGAAAGGAAAGGAAAGGAAAGGAA